TTCAAACAATTCAATAGTGAAAAGTGCATTCTCTGAACAAATAGAAATTTTAACCTTTTTTAGAATTTAGGTTAGGGTTTTGCTTTTCTTCTTTTATTGTGAGCTTCAAATGTCTTCTTATCTCGTTTCTTTCACCTGAACACTCGTATTTGAGAGCTTCTGTGCCTGGATTAGATAAACTGGAGATTTACCTGCCACTGGTGGAAAATGAACGTTTTATACACGACAGTGGAGGTGACGCTAGAGGTGGATGGGTCACGAAGCCACTCAGTATCTTCACTTTGATCTTTGTGTGTGTCTGAACGTCGGTCTGAGACTCTCTGCTCTGACAGCGGTCTGTGATACACTTCTGTTTTCATCATCACTGCAGGCCAGCTTGGGGGGCTGTGACAATGTGTGAGGGGCTTTGCCAGAGGCAGATGCGCGGATGTCAGAGGAGTTGATCAACAGATATGATTGCGTCAAACCATCCAGCCAACAGCTGTGTTGCCTCCACACCATGTCAAACAAACACTGACTGACACACAACAACATCCGCCGACAGAAACTGAACCTCAGTCTCAGTTCTCATTAAAAACGACACACAGATGTTGATGGATTTCTTATCTGCTTCCCTGTTTTAGAGTTAGATTTACATTATTACCATCTGTACATACTTTTCAGTACCAGAACTGTCCAGAATCAAAAGCTGGCTTGCTCAGGTTTCTATTCTTCTTTGCGTTATTTTCTTAATGACTCAAATGAATTTTATTTGTATAAATCATAAAAAACACAATTTACCTCAAAGGGTTTTACAATCTGTACAGCAACATCCACAAAAAGCATTTTAAATCATAATTTTGTCAATGTTCATTCATTCAGGGACAGGCTGCTTGTGTTCAGACAACATTTTACTTTTGAGATCTCAGCACAAGTATAGAAACATTTCAAATAAACTTTGTTCATGACACAACTGTGATCATCCAGTTTAGGGAACCATTGAACAAACTCATTTTATTTTATATAGTTGCAAATCCTTTTACGATCAATGACTAAAGTCTAAACAGCTTAAAGTCTGTAACCCACAGACATCAGCAGACACTTGGCATCTTTCCTAAAGAGGAACTGCCAGACCTGTGTGACACCCATTGCTCGCATTAGGGGAGTTTTGCTTTCAGTCTGGTTCTTAAAGAAGTGAAACACACAATCGGTTGGTTTAAGTTCAGGGGGAGCAGACATGGCCAGTCAGGAAATAACATTTATGTGGCCATAAAATGATTGTCATAGGATCATTGCCCTGCTGCATTCTCCTAAAATTGGGGGACAATGTATAAAAATGGGTGACTAGTCCAATATTATTGACCCAATATGATTGTGAACACACTAGAACACCCTCAAGGATAACATTTCTTAAACATTATGATCATCGTTTCATTTCAAATCCAATTGGATAGATTACAGAGGAAAAACTGTAGAAAATGTCCAATATTTGTGGACTGCACTAGTGTGTGCGTTTTCATTTTGTGAACACAAAGCTTTGTTCTTTAGCACGGAGCCTTTGATCAGCTTGAAGCAGCTGCCACACTGCCACTGAAGTGTCTCAAAAAAAGTGACGTATAGAGCATGAGAATAGACATTTCTTAACATTTGAATTAAAATCCCATATCTATTGTGTGCAGGATGGGCGCCTTGAGATGCATCTGATAATAAATGTATTAAATAATATATACAGAGATAGTGCATTAGCAAGAAAAATTGTTTAAAAAAATGGTATAACACCCACTAACAGTAACAATAACAGTCAGGGTTCATCATTTCAGAAGAAAACTGAGTAGATTACTGACAGTCTTCATGCATTTTCATGCATTTTCTGGGTCCGCTGGGTTTCACAGTGTGGATGAAGGCATCCATCATAACCACATAAATAAAACTCCCCCAAGCTTATTGTGATGGTTTGAGTGGTAGGCCTATAATATGACAAACACAGCCTCAATCACTCTTCAATCTTAATCCTTCACTTTTTCTCTCTGCTTTTCTATAAAAAGCTGAAATAACTTTGGGCTAAAGAAAACATATATCTAATGTGGTAAAAATAAAAACTACCAGACCAGTTATATGATTGAGAGTCACAGTCTTGAAGTTAGCAAGTGACTGCAGTGGGCCATAATTTCAACAACCCTTCTATGACCTTGTCCTGGTTTCCCTTTTAAGGGAGGCATCCTTTCATGCTGAGCATATGTTTATGTTTGGAATAACTTGCTCTGTTGCTTTTTCTGCAGGACTGAGCTTTCCCTCTGAGCTCTGACAATAAAAGTCACATATAGCAACCGTGAGGAAAAAAACACTCTCCAAACACCTCCTCTTCTCTTTTCTGGGTTTCTTATTCTCACAAATTAAACTAGCTTTGTTGTATTCCATCTTTCAATGTCGCCCCTTCTATAATGAAGTCCCTTTGTTGATTTGAACAGCCATGCTTTTATGCAACTTGAAAGGATAATGCAAGGTTTTTTACAACCTAAGACCTCAAAAACACTGGCTTGCCACAAATTCCTTCCAATGTTGTGCATCAATGAGCTACAATGAGCTAAAATGAGATGTGAAATGTTTGGTCCCCGCAGAGCAAGCCAGCAAATAATAAGCCAATTAGAGAACTGAGTCGACCTTCACCACAACACATCTGGACTCAAATTCAGGTCCCTGCTTTGTACATCATGACAGATGGATGTGGAAACTTTGAAATTACTGATTCTACTCGAAACTATGCCCAATTCATAACTCAAATACAATAACATCACAATGATTGTGGCTGCAGCAAACCAAAACAAGTGCAATACACATTTGATTAGTTCATTCACTGTTTAATTTGGGGCTTTGTTCCCAAACCTTTTATACTCTAAAAATGATATAACCCCCCTCAAAAACTAGATCTGTTCATGGGGGTCCTGTTAAGACGGTTTACTGTATGTCTGTTTTGTAACTATGAAACTACTGCCAGCAGCTGGTTTGCCAAGGTTAAAAAGGGGGACACAGCTAGCACTGCTCTGTCCAACAGTACCAAAATACCCCTTAACATGTTATATCTTGTTTGTTTGAACAAGGAGAAAGAGAGGGGATGACACGCAGCAAAGGGCGACAGGTCGGTCTCAAACACATGGCCAGCTCTACCAGGTGAGCTACCACGGAGCCTCTTGTATGGATTTGAGAAATTATATATAACATGTTAATTAGTGGGTGTTACAGGTGCTGGTAGGCAGTTTTCTTTTACATTTGGACAGAGCCAGGCTAGCTGTTTCCCCATGTTTCCAGTCTTTATGCTAAGCTAAGTCAACCAGCTGCTTGCTGTTGCTTCATATTTAGTGTACAAATATGATATCAGTTGTCCCCTCTAACTCAATAATATGAAATACAACCACACATGCACACACGATCATTTCTTTGCTCATTTGCTTTTGCAGTCTCTCCCCATGTTGTTAATTCAAAGAGATAAAGGACTCTCTGTCCCTTCACACCTTGTAAAGATATGTCATAGCTTAGTGTGGAATCTTGTGCAGTCTCAGGATGATGAGGCACATCTGTTCACATACAACACATGCACATGTTATCTTATCCTCTGGTGATTCTTTGACATCGATAGGCACCTTGACTTTGGTCTCACAAAATGCATTTCGAGCAATGCACAGCTCTGTGACAGCTGTGATAAGGATAAATATTCCATGCTCTCTCTAGGAGTGTGTGCCGCGAACGTGCTTTTTTTGGCAAACAGAATATACGAGGGAAAGGGAGTGAAGGGAAATCAAAATTAAGGGAGGGAAGCGGATGAAAGATTGAGGCAGGATGAGTGAAGGGAAAATTAGGTAAACAAAAGTGAGTGTGAGCGACAAAAGAGAATTAAAGAATGTAACAAATTTCCATACACGAGACATGTGACATGATAACACAGCACTTAAAATTTTTGGAGATGGAACAGAGCCTTTCCGCATTTTCACCATGTTTTTATATCATATAAAGGATGTGTAGGAAACTCTCAACATACCTCTGGCTATTGACTGACTTAATGTAAAATAAGAACATGTTATTATAATAGCACATAATTGATTAGTATCTCTACCATCAGTCTCTTGGGAGATGAGCACTTGGAGTGGATAATTGGTAGGATAAGTATTCCACTTATTCGCTGATGAACTCCCTCTGGGACTGTGAAAAAGGCTAGTAGTTGAACAAGTTCTCAAGTGTGTCTATTTATAGAATCGTCAGCAGTAAAGTGGACAATGAAATCGGTTTAAAACAGTTAGAAATGATCAAAGTTAATACATGATCCATTTGTTACCCATTCTCCCTAGTTTGTTCTGACTCTCTTCTGAAGTCCAATTATACCCAATTCATAACAATCACAGATGCACATTAACGTATATTGCCCAACACCAGAACATACAGTAATGGCAAGGAAATAACCATGAATCTTATGATTAATTCATTACAGTTGTCCTACAATTCCCCAGCTTTAAAAAACAATAGACTAACAACCCTTTTTCGCCCACAGGAACAACCGATAAGGCTTTCTTTGTAGACGATACTGAACTTTTAGGTTAGGTAAGTGTTTCTTGGGCAAAACAAAACATTGAAAGATGAAACTATAAAGACCATTGTTTTTTTTTTGGACTGTTTGGCTTTGTGTAGCAGCCGCCAAACATTGAGAAATCTTCTTCTTTCTGACCTTGAGATGTCTGTTTGTCCAACAAGGCCTGTTGCTCTGCATCTTTAGTTCTGTCTTTCTCTCTTTACCAACTGAAATGTAGCTCCAGAAACTTAAAAAATAAAAGTAGAACCCTTGACAATGAATACATTTTCATCAAGTTTCTGTAGTGGAGAAGAATGCACACTTGAAAAGCACACTTGAAAAGGGTCTCTTTAAAAGGTTCATAGATAAGTCCAGATCATTTCTGAGACTATTACTGTTGAAGAGACAGAAAAACTAAAAGGTGAAGACAGGATCAAATGTGGAAATAAAATGTAGTACTAACCTCTGGCATCAAAGAACTCCTCATCGGAGCTGTCAACTGATTCTTGTGCGATATTCTGCAGACACCAATGAGTGGCGCTGTGTTTTCTTGAGGATCCTGTGCATCAGAAAAAGAAAATAAGACAGAAAATGTAATTTTAAACTGGAAGAATGACAGACAGGGTTGTGCCATTAATCACACAAATCATGCATATTTATATTTTTTTCCATTGCGGTTGATAGGTCTAAAAAATGCAGAGTGAAAAGCGAAGCGTGAATGCCCCAGGTGGGGATACATGGCCTTTTGAGAATCACAGCAGGTGAAAAGACCCAAATGGACTTTCCTTTGAGCAGTGTCATAGCACACAAGCGTCTCAGCAAGGAAGCCAGGCAGTGGTTTTTATGACCTTCTGATACAAGAGCAGGGATGAAAAGGGATTTAGAGCACTTTTCATTTGTTGACAATATTCATTTTCAAGTACCTGGATATAAAACCATTGCAAACAAGTACAGCAATGATTTCTTTAAAAAAACTGTTGCTCAGATTGGTATTAATAAACTCCACAAAGTAATGACACTGTAGTTAAAAAACTGATTAATTACAACTCACAGGAACGTTTTTTAAGTGCAGTTCTGCTCTTGTGTCAAATTTTTTTAATTTAAAGAGTAACTGTACACCGGGTAGCTTAGTCCGTAGGGACTTGGCTTGGGAACTGGAGGGTCACCAGTTCAAGCCACTACAGTATGGAGTGTGGACTGGTAGCTGGAGACTGCCAGCTCCACCTCCAGAGCAAGGCACCAAAACCCCTAACTGCTGCTTGGGTAATGTTCAGTGGCAGCCCATCACTCCACCATCTCTCTACATTTGCATGTCTATGTATGTGATTGTATTCCGGGCCTATGTGTGTGTGCAAAATGAAAACTGAATTTCTCTATTGGGGATTAATAAAGTTAATCTTCTTCTAAAAGCAGTGTTTTGCTGCCCTCTCCGGTAGAAAGAGCGGCAAAACACCTGTTCCACCTGTGACCACACCCAGCAATGATGGTGTCATAGAGTACATGTGTCCTTTACTACCGCAAGGCAAAAAGTTAAACCTTTAATGTCTTTGATTTAATGTTTCCCTGAGTTTCCAGGATGTTTTCTTCCTGTTTGGAACAGTGATTTTGATAAGCCTCAAGTAACTCCTCCTCTCAGTGTTACTGCACTCTGACGATGTTGCTGTAATGAACCACATGCTTCTTGCTGGCCTGGGGCCAAATCTTGAAGCTTCAATTTCCAATTCATTCCCCATTGCATCTTTCCTGACATGACAGCAAAGACAGAGTGGGCAAGACAGAAAACTGCAACATCACACCTACTATCCTATAAATCATGGGAATTAGCCCATGTTTAATTAACCAGCCCAAATGGCACCTTTCAGTTCTTGCTTGCAAGTGAATACTAAGATACCCCAAGTAACCATGCATTGTGATATATACTGTGTACAACAGAGAGGCTTTTTGCTTATGTATGCAAACAGTTATTTACTCTGTGCTGGAGGATATGTTTCTCTCCTGGAATACCGAACAGTTTCCACCCATGCCTTTTTGCAGTTCACACAGTAGACCGCCCAACTCCAGCTCAACATGAAATGCGTGTGCTGTCATCCTTCCCCGACAATGTTGCAAGTGTGAATAATGCTTGAGAGAAAATGGTTTCTGTGTGGTGTTACTGTAATGACAGGAAACGCTTAATATGCGGCTGGTTGACTAATACACTAATTTATTATATCTGTTTGTAAATTTCTCACTGTTGCCAACCATGTTAGCACTTTAGTCCCTTCCAAGATGGAGGGAAAACATGCAAAATCATTCTGTAAAAAGCATCTATTATCATCTTACAGCACTGTTAGGAGACTGCGAAAAATCTTTTAAAAAGCTGTGACATCCTCCTCCTATTTTTAGTGCTGACATGTTGTTAAAGGTCCAGTGTGTAACATTTAGGAGGATCTATTGGCAGAAATATAATATAATATACAGGTATCTTGTCTTTAGTGTATAATCACAATAAAATGAGAATCATTTTTACATTACCTTAGAATGAGCTGTTTCTATGCCGCAGGTTGTCGCCATGTTTCTATAGTAGCCCAGAATGGACAAACCGAAATACTGGCTGTAGATAGTTCTCCTATACACTTCACAGCCTGTTCTCATTCCCAGGTCATTAAATACAGATGTGAGCTGTGTTCAGTTAGATGCAATCTGAAATGTCACCGCTAGACACAACTAAATCCTACACACTGGTCCTTTATTTGTTGTTTATAAAAAATACTTAACTACTCAAAAAGAAGATTCTTTGTACACTCTGTACACTGTCTATTTTTTCCATTATTGGACAGTGACATTGAAGATGGTGATGGCGAGAGAGGGCAGTATGACAGTATAAAAGGACGTTGTGGTTACGTGGAATGTGCTGTAAGCACTCGGCTACCAAGGTTTCACTACTGCAGCATAGCAATAAAGCTACCTTTGGCTATACAGAGGACTCAGTGTGCAATGGTGGGATGTAAAGTACATTTACTCAAGTACTGTACCCAATATACAATTTTAAAATACATTTACTTTACTTGAGTGTTTCCATTTTATGTTTTTTTTTATGTTTCTTCATACTTCTACAACAAATATTGTACATTTTTACTCCACCACATGTATTTTGTTAGCCAATAATATAATATACAATATATTGTTCTGAAATTAGTCGTTCTGCAAAATGATAATTTTAAGTACTTTTAACTATATCTTAATGCCAATACATAAAAAGTTTGTTACCTTTTACTTTTTATGCAGTACTTCAGTACTACAGTATTTCTACATTGTGGTATTGCTTTTATTAAGTAAAATCCTCTCCTTTTACATGAACGACTCAGAAGCTTTTCTGACAAGGAGAGTCATGACATCCTGAACATAAATAGTCAACATGCCTATCAAGTGGGATAAGCTGAAGCTCTCTCTTCAACTTTTGACTTAACGGCAACTCCACACGTCAGCAAATCGTTCTCCAGGGGCTCCAGGATCCCTGGACCGCCACAGAGCCTTTAACCCTGTCATCTTGGCCTACGGTGGATGATAAGTGAGGAGGCTCAGGCGAGGATTAGTTCAGTCCTTGTGTGCGCATTGATTGTGCATCAACATACAGACCAGCAACAGCACCGCCAGCCAACAGCATAATTTCTCCTACATCTTACTCAGCCATCCCTTCTATGGTTACATCCCTGAGTACTAATTTGTTTCGACTAAACTGCCAACATATACACACAGGACAATTTGGGCAAATTATACAATTCTCTGCTTACAGAGAAATGAGCAATTACTGTACAAAACATGGAGATGATTACTATTTTCAGGAAAACACTTTCTTTGGAAAATATAAATATGTCCCCCCCCCCCCCCCCC